AAATTTCTCCTTTTATTTCTATGAATAATAGATCTATAATTTTTTTCAATATTTATTATCTTAATATAAATACTTATAACAGAATTCTAATTAAGAATATATTTAATTTAAAATTATACTATAAAATTGAATTTAGATTATCAATAAAAACACTTTTTTTTAAAGTAACAATGTTAGAATAAAATTATTTTAAATTAAGTTTATAATGATAATTAAATTGTATAGTCATATATCTATAATGATTGTATTGATTAAAAATAGATTTGTAATATGAGAGCCTTTCTTAATCAATTTTAGGATCAATGAATATTATTATCCCTAAAATAATAAAAAGATTTCTATCATAAAATAATAAAATTATCAATAATTATTATGCTTCCATGTCTTGAAAAAGTTTATTAGATGGTTCTGTAAACTCAACTCTAATTTCTAGATACTGATCCAATACTCTAAATAAAATTGCAAGATCCATATCGATTGATTTTAAAGAAAGAATTTATGCACATTTATAAGGATGATGAACCATTTATTTATTTTTCAATCTGCTTTCCAAATTTAATTCAATGGCTTATTATAAAAAATATCTTGATTGGATTTTCAATTAAGGGATTTGAATTTACAAGCCATTAAGGTGATTTACTAAAAAAACTAAAACAAATCTTGGCAGGAAGATTATTTTTTTCTAGAGTTCAAGATTTTTTTATACCTTTACAAACATTAGGTAAGGGAAGTTCTTCAAAAGTATTATTGGTGAAAGAAATAGATAGTGGAGAATTTTATGCTGCAAAATGTGTATAGAAGGAAGAAATGTAATTTTAGGAGATTGAAATCAATAATTAATTATAGCATCCTGCATTTATTACTGTTAAAGAAGTGTATTAAGGAGAGACCAGTTATTACATAGTGATGGATCTATTATCAGGTAAAAATTTATAATCGTTTCTCGGACATCATAAACCTTTACCATTAGAATAAACAAAATCAATAATGCATGTATGATGATCAATAAATATTAGAGGCCTTATTGGAGGGAGTAGAATATATGCATTCTAAGAATATTATGCATAGAGATATTAAACCAGAAAATATTATACTAGAAATAAAAGGAGGATAAGTTAGACTTAAGATAGTTGATTTTGGATTAGCTACTTATAGTACTTTGAGTAATAATTATTAAAACACTATATAGAAAGATTTAAATATCCTAAATGTGGGACTCCAGGATTTGTGGCTCCAGAAGTCGTTAACTTATAAAATAGTAATCAGACTTATGATAAGGTTTGTGACATCTTTAGTTGTGGAGTAATCTTTTACAAATTGTTAACAGGGAGAGATGTTTTTCCAGGATCTGGTTTTACTTATGTTTTGGAACTCAATAAAAAATGCAATATTGATTTCTCTCATTTAACTCTTTAATAATTGCCTGTTAATTTGACAGTATGCATTTTTATTATTGAGGAATCTTGTTTAAAGAATGCTATCAAGGGATCCCAAATTGAGACCTACAGCTACAGAATGTTTGAATCATGAATTCTTTAAGAACATTGAAAAATATAATGTTAATCAAAAAAAACAAGGATTTTTGTAGTCTAAATAACATACTGTTGAATTTAATTAGGATCAAGAAATTTAAGATTATTAAGGATCATTTGTAACCACAGAGAAGATATAGAATTAAAGCTAACCTAAATAAAAACAAAAGACGATGTAAAAATTTAATACATCACAATTTGATAATATAATTTGAATATTACAAATTGAATAATGGTTATTATGTTGATTAATGTAATGCTATATTTAAATTATATTAATCTATCTTTATATCTAAAGTTATAGTAATTTTATTTCTTTTATCTTTAATTTTATAACCATTCTTCTTAATTGATTTTCTTCATTATAGTGGATGAATGTAGTCTTTACTCATTAATTAAAATAAATAACTCATTTCTATTATTTTGCATCTTATAATAAATTAATTCTTTTTTTGTATTATTCTATACACTCTTTTATACACTCCTCTTCATTATTGATGAACTTGCTACTATTAAAAGCATAGACACATTTCTTGAAGCAATTTTTAATTATATCCATAATTATATAATAAAATTAAAACTCAATATTATTAAATTAATTTCTCTCAAATAGACTTGATTTACAGCATTAGTATAGACAGAATATTGGATTCTTGTTTTTTTATTAAATGACAATAGTTTTCTTGATATAAGATAAAATTGTTTATTTAAAAAACAAAATAGTATATATTCAATAAATATTTCTATAAATTTTTTTAACTGCATTACCATTATCATTTGTAACCTCAACTGGTTTCTAATTAGTTTGTTGAAGGTATTAAGGTGAAACTATTTGACTAAGATTATAAAGTTAATATTATTTCTTTTTTTTCTTTTTATGTTCTTCATAATATGCCCAAATACTTATAATAATATCCAAGAGAAATTAAGCAAAAACTAATCCTTACAATAACTTATATTAGTTTAAAATACTTTATGAAATAGTTGAACTAAAAGTTAAGATTTATTCTGATATTTGATCATTAATATTTTCAATTGAAATAGTTTTAATTGTACGATCAGTTGAAATAACAACTAAAAATCCAAGTAATGAAAGTACTATTAAGGGTATTTAAATTGCAAATCGAACATAATAAAATAGAAAGGCAGTAACATGTTATTTGCATTTTTAACCACAACTCTCTGCTGCATTAAATATACATCTGCATATTTCATTTATTATAATTACAATCATATATATCCAATATGACATACTAATCAAAATAAATAATGATAACAAATTTATAGCAAATTCAATATCATCAAAGAGAGAGCAAAAATTAATTATGTTCAATGTTGGTAGAGAAGTTTAAAATAATAATTAAATATTTTATGAGTAATTATAAAGTGGTCTTGTCTTTTAGAATTTATCTGTTAAATCATTAAATTCTAAAAAGTCTTCAAATTTTAATGTAAATAGTTAATTAAAAGATAAATCAAGATTACAAGGTTCCCATATTTGTGTATTCATTATATAATCTTCACCTACTCCTTGTGATAATTTCTTTCTATCTTCACAAATTCCTTATCCTCTTGTAATATTAAAATTGATTATATAGTTATTGGATGAGTTTCTAGTAATAATTAAATATTGATCATCAATTATTTATGCTTAATCTATTTTTTCATAATTTTTTAGAATCTAATTGTTTCTTTAAACATCCTTTATTGGACATTTCTCTGTTTTTTCAACACAAAAAAAGTTTAATTCGTTATTCATATCTTGACATAACTTTAAATTATTAGTTTTACAATCCTCAGGGAGCTTGATTTTTAATTATCTAAGTTTTTCAAAGTTAGTACTAGTTCTTTAGGCACATAATTAAAACCTTTACATTGACTCATTATATCCCCAATTACTAGTTTAAATTTCATTAGAGGCACTTAAAATTGTACAATCAGTTTATGTTATATTACAAATTTCAACGAATAATTTGTCATTTTAATTTGGACAATGACATCCAGCCACAGTTGAAGGAATCGTATAATTTGTTATTACAATAGTATTTGATGGACATTATGTTAATAAACTTAAATCATTGATTGGACCTATTTTAAGCATTTCTTAAATATTTGTAATCTGAACTTTATTATTTTAGTATTCTTATATTTTAGAAACTGATGTTACCCATTATACAACTAATAATACAAAAATAATTAATGATGAGATAAATCTTCTTAATCTTGATTGATTAGCTACTGGATTTGAAAAGCACCTTTAACAACCATCTCTACATAATTAATTGTCACAACAATCACAATCTAAATTATTACAGTCACAGCAATCTTAACAGCAATTTTTACAGTCTCCATACATATTTGTGCATTCTCCACAATCTCCACAATCATTACAAATTCCACCTAGATCTCCACAATCTCCACAATCTCCACAATTACAATCTAAATCTCCCATCAAAATCTATGAACAAATAAAAACACTATTAAAATATTAAAAAACATAGATAAATTTTCATTTATTATAGAACTTTATTAAGAATTATTTTTAAATACAAAATGATTTAATTTAAACATATTTAAGTTGCATTAGAATAAGAAAATAAATATATAGATTACTATATAAAGGAATCTATTAGAATACTTTAATAAAGTATCCTATTTAAATTTATTTCAATATATTATAATTATGCATAATTGAATTTGATTAATTAAATTTTATGTCAATATAAAGTTGAATAATTATTTCTAAAATTATTCTTCTATAATTTTGCTCATCTCTTTGTATAATTAGTATATAATACATAATAAATTAATTATAAAATTAGTTTAAAATAAGAAAATAAATGATAAACTATTCTTAATTTTTTATTTCAGAAACCCTTAATCTAATAAAATATCATTTTTATTTTACTTAATAATTACCATAATAACTTATTATTAGATGTTATTTTGTATAGAATAGCTATCATAAATCTCATAATTAAATTAATTACTCAATTAAATTTTAATATTATCATAAGTTCAGCTTATTGACTATTTATAAATTTATCCATTGTATATATCATTTTTTTCAATAATTGCTGTATATCTATGAATCTCTATACTTATTACACAATTTATGATTTATGAAAAGTTCATATGAAGTACCATCTATTTAATTTCTTATTAAAATATTCTTTTAACACAAATATCACTCTTGATTTAATATTAGTATATAATCATTTTTCCAATATCTTTTATGCTGTTTATGATCTCTAATTCTCTTAAGAATTTTAATTTTTTTAATGTTCTAATTAATTATGCCAATTCAAAATGTATTTGATAATCAGATGAGTTCGAACAAAAAACATTATATAAATTTTTTAATTTATGAAATAAGTGTTTTGGAGTTGATTTCTAAGACTCATTTAGTGATTTGGTAAAATTACAACATTCATATGGAACAATAAAATTAATATAATTAAATTACTAATGGATTTACAAGAAGAATTGAATTAAAAAGATCAAACAATCAAATAACTAGAGGAAGAGAGAAATATATTGATTTAAAATACTAATGAATTATAAACTAATCAAATTACATTAGAAAAAGAAATCACTAGATAAAAAAGCAATATTGCTAATTATGAGGCTGAACTTATTGAATTGCATAAGGAGAGAAAATCTTGTGATGAGTAAATTCAAAAGTCTCAGATTTAAATAGAATCTTATGAGCAATAGATAACACTACTTAATGAAGATTTAAAGAAAGTAACCATTCAATGTGATGAGGCTTTGTAAAAGCTTTAGGAAATTCAGACTAGACATGAAATTGAAATTAAAACACTTTTTGATTAATTAATGAATGAGAAAGAGAAAATTACTGAAATTAATGATGATTATCAATAAATTCTTAATGGTAAATTAAGTGAAATTGATTTATTAAATGAAAAACTCAACAATTTAGAAGAGAAAATTTAAACTAATCTTAAAAATTATTAAATTGAGATTGACTAACTAAATAATCAAATTGAATAGACAAAATAAGAAAAAGATAATGAATGGGAATAAGCTATCAAATTATTACAGAATGAAATTGATGATTTAAATAAAGCATTATATGAAAAGGGATAAAATAATACATTTGAATAAAAAATTTAAGAATTAAACTAATATATTATAGAGTAAGAACAATAATACATGAAATAATTTGAAACTTAAGAAGGAAAAATGAAAAAATTATAAGATGAAATAATAATTCTAAATTAGTAAATACTTGAATTAAAAAATAAAAATGAAAATTAGTTATTAGACTTAACTGCACTTTAGTAGGAAATAATTAATAAAAATGAGAGTTGTTAAACACTTACATAATAATTAGAAGATATAAAATAATAATAATAAAAATAAAATCAATAAACTAATTAAAATCATAATAACAATTTATAAACTTAACATAGCAATACTGCTGAAAAAATGGTTACAATTCCAATGAAGGAATTATTAAGTTGGGATAAAAGATCTAAAGATCAATAGAATCAAATTAAGGCATTATCAAATGAAATTTAATTATTAAAGAATTCATAAGAAGAATAATAAAAACTATAAAACTCTAAATAAATGAAATCTAGTCTTTCATTGGAAGGAATGGTTTAAAAATGTACAGCTTTATAACAAATCATTGATGAAACAAGTCAACAAAATTCAAAAATTACATAAGAATTAAATACTTATAAACTATAAAATCAATAGCAAAAAGAGGATTTAAATAATATTTAACATGAATTAAAAGAATTAAGAGTGATAGCCTAAGATAAATTTAAATTGGAAGGAGAATTAGCCTCTGCTTATATATAAATATCAGAAAACAAAGATTTAATGAAAGTAATATATTAATATATAATATAGAAATTAAGTGAACTTTCATCTAATTATGAAAATAAAGAGGAATAATTAGAAACAACCAAAAAAACTTTGAGATAAAGTGAATAATTAAGGAATAATGTATAATTTATGATTTATTAAAGTTATAAATTAAGTTCGATGAAATTTCAATCTAATATTAGAAAACTTAATAAGAATTAATAAATGTTAAATAAGAAAGAGATTAAAAAATAATAAAGTTAAAAGATTTAGAAAAGTTATTGTAATCTTAATTTTAAGAATATTCACATTTAGAATAAAAATATAAAGATTCATAAATTAATTATGAAGATTTATAAAGTTAGGTTAAAATATTGGAAAAAAAATATTCTCATGTAAAATAATTATTATAATATTAGGAAACAGAATAATTAAAAGATGATTGTCATTAAAAATAAAAATAAATATCAGTATTAGAAGAATCTAATAAATGTTTAACTAATGATCTTCTAGGATTAAGAGAATTATAATTTAGATAAAAAGCACCTGAAGCTCCTTTAACAAAAAAAGAAAAGATTGTAGTTGAATCTCTTTCATTAAGAGTATAAGAACTTGAAATGGAAAACAGAAAAACAAGAGATACTTTATGTGCAAAAATTGTTTAATTATAGAATGAATTAGAATAGAAAACAAACAATATAAATCAAATTGCTCATTAAATATCAAAATAAATTCCCTCTTTATAAGAATAGGATTTATTGGATAAAGAAGATGTAAAAATGATACAATAATTAAAAAAAAAAGTTAATATTTAAGAGATTTTAGAAGTATCAAACATTCTTAAAAATAGAAAACCCTCATTGAAAATTTGTAGCTTAGAGACTAGATAAAACTTTTGGGAACCGAAATTAACAAAAGAAAATGACTCTTATTAATTATTTATTTATAATTATGAACAAAAATATACAAAAAACTTTTAATTAAGTTTTATTCTAAATAATAATATAAACTCTATCTATTGAAATAAGGAATTGAATTAAAAATTAAATACAATAAGTAACCTTTTTTTAATCTATAAAATGAACTATTAAAAGCAATAATAAGAAAAACACAAATATTAGTTTTCTATTTCATCGAATTGATGTTTACTTTTTTTTTAATTTTGATTAATTTACACATTTATTTGCTTAAGAAGGCTTTCTAAATAATAATGTTCTTAAATTTAATAATTTTTCAAAGCAAATATATAAAAAATAAGATGAATGGAGTTAACCCTAAAATGAATTAAAATTATTTAGTATTTCATATTTACATTCTAATTTATTATCTAATTATAATTATACATTTTTAATATTTATTACAGCTATTTAAAATTTGTATTAAGTTCTGAGAAATGATAAATAGTCAATAATAAAATTAAATTGATAAATGATTTTAATAATTATAATCAGGATTATAAGTTTTAAGATTGTTATACGAACGTTACCATTTCTTTAATATTTCAATTTTTATGATATTTTAAACTATTTAATTTATTAATCAAAAATTAATTTGATATTCTAAATATATATATATGCATAATTAGAATTTAACATCAAAATCAATTTATAAATTTAAGATTTGCAAAATATATTTAAATTTAATTATAATAATCTATTAATAATATATGATAAATTTCCAATCATAATATATACTGAAAATCTTTAATTTATAATGCTTCAATAGAATCTTTATAACATCTTTTCTTTAAGGATACTCTAAATTCTTAAATTCAACCAAAATATTAAAAATAATACAAAATTATCAGATACTAGTTCACTTCTACTCTACTATATTAAAATAATTTCATATTGGGACATAAATATCATTTAGACTTTTGATAATTATTTCCTAATTTTCTTCATTATTAAAAGATAAGAAAGACTTAGAAATAATTATCTAGTCTTTCTTTGGAAAAATTAATATATATATTATTTGAGGAAGTAAGTTTATCAAATATAAATGACAGAGGATATTGTAAATTTATTTGTATCAAAATATGGGTCTACAGATGCCCATAAGAATTAGCTATTACAATAATCTATTTAGAAGGTATTGCTTAAAGAGGGGGCCAATTCTTAGGTCTTATCGAAATTAAGATCAAAACTTGTTTAATCTAAATCTCAATAACAATTTTTCCCTACATTGGGAAATGGAGAATAGGCTTTACCTTCTAAAACTCCTGTGGATTCACAAAGAAAAACATTTGAACCATTCACAAAACGCGTTTAACCATTCTAAAGGACCTACATATAATCATTTGATTAAGTGTCTGAAACTTCAGAAAAACCTCCTAAATCAATTTATTATGTAGATAGACAAGACGTAATATTCTTAAATAATTAAAGGAAGATGAATGGGCTGCATTAATGAAATTTGATGCGTAACTGTACTAAAAGGAATAGGAAAGAAAGAAAGAATTGCTTTAATAAAAGAAAGCTTAAATGAAGATGGAATTAGATATGTAGTTGAAAATAAAAGAAGAGAGAAAGAAAAAGGAGAAGGATTTAGAAGAGAAATATGATAGATTTCAAAGTGAATTATTATAGAAGAAAAATGAATAAGAATTAGAAAAATAAGTATCTGTAAAAAATAAATTATTGCAATTATAAGCAGAAAGAGATGTCTAATTAAATAATAAGAAAAAGAAACATCATAGTGAGGATAGAGAATTACGTAATTATAAATAGGAAATCAGTAGAAGATATCAAGAAGAATTATAAAAATAGATTGATGAAGAAAATAGAATAAAATAAAAGAAAAGAGAATATATGTTTAAAGTAATGAAATAATCAGAAGTTGATAAAATGGTTATTTTATAAAAATAAAAAGAATAAGAGAAATTAGAATAGGCAAATTGTGAGAAGTAATCATATTAATATATATAATAAATAGATATGGAGAATTACTTGATTAAATTGAATAAAGAAGAATTGAAGAAAATAAAAAAAGGAAGGAAAAAGTAGATAAAAATAATGCTTGGAGTGAATCATAGTTGTTAAGATATAAATTAGAAAAGGAAGATGATGATAAATTATAATATTGGAAAGCAATAGAAGAATAGAAGTTTTTAGAAGAAGAATAGAAAAAGAAAAATAGAGTAAATGAACTTAAATAAAAGACTATTTAATCATTGGAATAATCTATTAAACTGAAATAAATAAAGAAATTATAAGAAAAAGAGTTGGATGATTTTTAAGGAAAAATATGGAAGGAAGACACAGAAAGATTCTTTTAAGAAGAATAGAATAAATTAGATTAAATTAAAAAAGTCAAATTAGAACATAAAAAAATATTATAAAAATAAATGCATGACAAAATCAAACCTGAAAGAGGAGAAAAAATGAATATTCCAGAACTCTTATAAAATAAAGCAATTTTGAAAACAATAAAAGAGCAAGAAATTTATGATTTAGAAAAGATAGTTGTTTGATTTATCAATTAATTTTAGTATTAAAATAAATCTGTAATATTTACTCTATATATAGATAATAATATTGTATTTTATTTCAAATACAAATATCAAAAATAATTATCCTTCATATTATCATTATTATATATATGCTTTTTATTATTGATTTTTTATATTAATATTTTCAATCTTTTATGCTTTCAACATAAGTATTCAATTCGTTCGCTTAAAGACAAAGTAATGGTATCATTAAGTTATTGGCGTACGGAGTCTTCTTTGGAGGAGCATATGGATGTGCTTGGCATCAATGGAAGGGTGCTTAATAAAAATAATTATATGAGAAAGTAGAAACTGAGATTACTGAATGGAAACCAATAACAATCAATGGTCTTAATGCTAATAGATATCCTTGGGCACGTAATATTAGATAATGGGAGTATAAATTAGTGAAATTGTATGGATATTTCAGAGTAATAAATAAATTGCTATCATTTCTTAGGATGAAAGATTTTTTGTAAGAAGAGAAAGAGAAGGAAGAGATGGTTTCTTAGTTTTTGCTCCATTTGTAACAGCTTTATAATTCAATGATACAGAATAAGATCCAGAATAAACTACTAAATCTCAGGTGATGGTAAATTTAGGTTGGGTGCCTAAAGATAATATAAGTGATATTCAAATGGGATAAGAGCCTATTGGAACAACAGTAATTTTATGTAAATATAAATTAGACCTTTGAAAATGTTCCTCATAATGAAGATGACGATTAATTGACAGGATTCAATAGAAATGTATTAAATATGGAAGAAGATTATTAAATGCCTTTTGTTGAATTTGTTGGAATGGTAAGAAGAGGAGAAGAAGAGGATATTTTGAAGGGACGTAGAAATTGGCCAAGAGAGGGAGTGTATAATTATATTGATTTGTGGTTCATGTCAAGATTATACAGATCATTTAATTTGGTATAATGATGAAAACTAATATTGTAGACAGATTGTTCATCTGCATACATTGAAAGATTGGTGCAAGAATATGATGAAGAATCAGCTAATTTATATCCAATTCCTGCTACTAAAGACAACTTTGATAAACCTTTGCCTACTCCACAAACACATTAAGCATATTCATTATTTTTTGGGCTATCTTCAATAATGTCGTTAGCCTTATTAGCCATAAGAAGATGATTTATTAAATATAGTATATAAAACAAAATATATAGCCTTTAAAAAAAATTAATTTAAATTTAATTAATTAACTACTATTTTATGCCGCATTACCCAGAAGACATTGAATATTCTGATAAATATCAAGATGAGTTCTATGAATATCGACATGTAATATTACCTAAACATATATTCAAAAAATTGACTAAAGGTATTAAAATTAAACTAAATATTCAGGTAAATTATTGAATGAGATGGAATGGCGAGGATTAGGTGTTTAATAATCTAGAGGATGGGTTCATTATGAATGTCATAGGCCAGAACCACATATTTTATTATTCAGAAGACCAAAAGGAACTGATCCAAACACTGGATTACCTCCATAAGGTTTTTCTGCACCTTATTGATTTAGTTTCATTCATGTTATCAAAATAACTAAAAAATTACATCTTCAATCATTTCATCTTCAATTTTAAGCAGAAAATAATGATTGAATTGTTAATGCAATAAAGTAGTAAGAATTTTTAATTAAAACAATACTCTATTTTTACTCTAATTCATATATCCTAAAATTTATAATTTAATATATATTTATTATAGATAATAATATTGTAAGGAATTCCATTATGTTTATATAATTGTTTAGATACATTAAATAATAATAAATAATTAAATTGATTACTTGTAATCAAGAGTTAAAATTATTTTAAATAAAGATTAATACAAATATGATGGTATATAATGAAGTCAATTAATTTTTCCACTAATCAATTAAGTTGTCATACCACTTTTTCGAGGATGTTAGGGAGACATACTACAATAGGTTTTGAAGCCTGCTTTTTAACTGCTATTATAAATGAAAAAGTCTAAATAAGGATTAGGATCCTATTCATTTAATTGGAATATAAATTAATTTAAGTCTTCATATACTTTAAATTATATTTTTGTTTTAGATGTAGCATTTCTGAAGGAAAGTGGATCAGGAGCATGTTTCAATTTTTTATCTTTAAATTCTATTTTATTATTAGGTCCAATTTATGAGATTAAATATTAAGCCAATGGAAGACCTAAAGTACTGAAAGGTTCAGTACTTCCATCTAAATAGACACCAATCTTTTATTATTATTGTTGTAGAGATTGATCAAGTTCCAAATAAGGCATTTAGCTTTAGGTTACTTTATGAGTAGTAACATTGATTTTATGAAATTAATCACTCAAATTTTATATATTTTCATAATAGTGATTAACACCCCAATTTCTTTTTTTATGATCACTAAATGAAGCTGCTTTTGATAATGCTTCTTGAATTGCTACAGGAATATTTAAGAGTTGATGTTTCATTGTAATTAATAGACATCCTGGATTAGAATGAACTCTTTTAAAATTAATTTAGATAGGAAAACCTAATGGATGAATTTCATAAAGTTGTTTTTCATCATTTGTATTTATTGCAAGCATTAATCTAATGAATTCTGAGATACTTAATATAACTGAAATCATTTTAGATCTATCAGTTTTCAATTATATATCAAATAATAATTATTTATTAGAAAATTTTAAATCCTCTTTTAATTATTTAATTAATTCCAATAAATTGAATTAATTGATGTTATATTTTAATTTATTATAAATAATTTTAGTGATGTTCAAAATATTTAAACTTTGATTAAAAATGATATAACTATTACTGATTTAATTATTGATATGATATAATTATTATGTATTAGCTTATTATTTGAAATATTTTAGAAGATTAATTTAATCTTTAATATAATTTAAACACATTTTACTATGATTAACAAGTTATTAATCTCTCCATTATAATTAATGAGTAAAAAAATCAAATAAATCTCCACCTTCTTCTATAAATAATAATAATATTGTAGGTTCAAGAGTATTAAAATATATTTTTGTGATTTAAAATTACCATTTTTTATCATTATTTATGAATCTTCCTACAAATTTAGTTATTTTATCATTTTGTTATTTTTAAAGTAAATCTTTAATTAATACATCTTCAAAATTAAATGCTTTTTGATTAATGCCTTCTAATGGTTAAACGTTGGAATCTCTTAAAAATTCTCTAAATTTCTAATCTGAATTCAAATTAAATGTGTCTTTCATAACCCTATTTATTTTGTCCATTTTTAACTAAGCCTACTTACTATCATATTTGACCAGCACAACCCACGCTGGTAATTGTTCTTCAATTAAATTCTCATATAAGATTTAGGATCTAAATGCTAAATAATGTTAACGACGTTTCATTTCAGTCTAATAGCGAAGGAATATAAAGAAAAGACAAAATAGACTATAAGTAATAAGGGGAATTATTTGTTATTAGAGTATTGACATTTCAGCTGCTTAACTGAAGAGAAATATTAGCGATTGAGCAGTAAATTTATTGCCTTGCATATAGAGACCTTAAGTATAATATGAAAATTGTTTACATAATCTAACAGCTCCTATTTCTAAATATATGTTTTAAGCATAATTTAACCATATATAAATGTCTATTAGTATATTGATGACTATGAGATTTAAGCTTTTTATATTCTCTCTTTGCATAGGATATCTTCTGAAAAAGAAAAGCATTGTCAATTCTATACATAGTGTTACTGATGTAGTAATCAAATAAATAATATTTTAGGTGTAGTTGATGAGGTTGAGAATCATGTATAATGAGATGGTTGTCAATGTAATTTCATACATGATTTGATTTTAATCAATTACCCATAACCTAAAAGATTATTCAAGTTCAGATGAATTAAATGTTAATGTATATTTTTTGATCATATTATTATTTATAATTAAATGCTAAATGTGTATTATAAGACCAATTATGAGATATGAATTATTATTTATCATTAAATCTCAATTTACTTTTTTAAATCATAAACCTTAGTTCTTATATTAATTAAACCATATTAAATATTATATAATAATTGTACATCTTATCAACATTAAATAAAAGCAATGAAATAATCTAGAAGATTTATTAAAATGACGATTTACATCTGATAAAATATGATAGACATAAATTATTTAAGGTTTTCTCCTTAAAGCTTAAGAATTATTATATAAACTCTAGATGTTTTTACTTTTCTTTTCACTATATTTAGTGATAAAATCTACTACAATTATAGAACTTTCAGAAGGAGAACCTTGGATTCCAGAAAATTGGATTTCTGATGATCAGACAATATTTGAAACATAACACATTTGTGATGATCTTAACGGACCATATCTTGGTTTAATTGACAAAAATATCCATAAATAACTATCTGACTTAGGTGCTCATAACGAAATATAGATCTCTTTTGATATTTTATTCACAGGCAGATGGGAAGGTTCAAGTTACTTCAAAATTTATATTGACTCTACCAACATTTTTTCTGAAAGTGGTCTATCTTCAAGTACCTTCTAAACATCAAGTACATACTGTAAGTTAAACACAATTGAGTAAGAATTTTTAAATATATGAAGTGCTTTTCCCACCAATTAAAAGTTAATCACAGTTTACTAGACAATGTCTCATTCTAAAAGAAATCCTTTTATTGAAATAAAAGGATCATTCAATTGTGATATTATGGCTATTGGTGTCTGTTAATTGGTATCAATAAAGAATCTAGTCATATATCCAACATAGTGCCATTTCAGTTGCAAAACATGTGATGGGCCAAATATAGATTAATGTTTAAGTTGTCCATATGGATCTCTAGATTCTGGTAGATGTTATTGTTAATCTGGACTATATCAATATGCTAATAAATGTGTATTATCATGTCCAAAATATTATATTGCCAATCTTGATAATTAGTGCTTAATTCAATGTTCATTAAATTGTTAAATTTGTGGAAATAATTCATGTAATGAATGTGAAGAAGGATACCTTTTACATTTAGGTAAATGTGTCAAGTAATGTCCAAGCAGTAGTCAATTCAATGGTATTAATAAGTGTATAGATTATAATGAAATGAAATAATATGGTATTATATATATAATAACATAATTGTAGGGTCTGAATATTTGGGCAGTTATTTTTATAGTTTAGAAAGTAATTATTAAGAATAGGTGAATAGATTTGAATTTTCATAATCTTTCACATATTCTCTAATGACTTAATAGAAATATTCAATTTATTAAGATAAATTATTATTAGGTGGTTATGGAGTTTGGAGTGAAGGATATTTTAGTCTTAGTTATTATAGTGTAAATCCACATAATCATTTAAGAATTTATTTGGATGTTTGGTTTATAGATAAATGGAATGATGATAAATTTTAAATAATTGTTGATGGAACAGTTGTTTATGAAAAAAACGTCAAAAATACAGGTACAAATTAATTCTATAGAACCTTTCCTGATTCAATAGAACATATAGCATTAGATGTTATACATATATCTAACGACATAAATATACGATTTGTATCAAATTTAATGAGATCTCCTTTAGAAGGTAGTATAGGAATAACAAATATACATATATTAATTGATTATTGTGATTTTCATTGTATTTGGTGTATTAATACTTAATGTTCATTATGTGAACCTGGTTATTAATTAGTAAATAATAAATGTGCTAAATGTGATAATACTTATAATAGAAAATCAGATTGTAATTGTTTGGAAGGTTATTATGAAGATAATAAAGCAGAATGTCTAAAATGTAAAGCAGAATGTCAAAATTGTTTAAATGTTGATACATGTATTGAATGTAAGACAGGATCCCATTTAATTTCATTACCTTTATGTTAATCTTGTGAAAATGGATATTATTATGATGATGCAATGTGTTTAAATTGTTAATATAATTGTAAAACATGTTCAACTTTTAATGTATGTATTTAATGTGCTGATGGATTTGTTAATCCTCCTTAATGTTAATGTTAAGATGGTATATTTAATATTTAATTTTTAATAAGGTTATTTTGAAACTGAAACACATTAATGTTATAAATGTAGTTAATAATGTAAGACTTGCACTTCATATGGTGATTATTGTACTTCATGTTCTGGAAATAGAATTTCACTACCTGATTGTTCTTGTCCAAAGAATTCACTTGAAA